AGCCTAACCTCTTTAGTCCTGCCTATCAAATTCTCAGAGTCCCGAGGTCCCACTTTGCTACAGTCTAGGTCTCAGAGATCTCTCCTTCTGCTGAAATCAAGATATTCTTCTTGATTCTTCTCCTCAGTTGGCAGTCAGACATGTATACTCTTCCATTGTGTAGTGGAATCAGACATGCACACCTAGCTGCCAATCCTGACTCTGTTACTTACCAGCTGTGAAACCTGGGACAGATCACCTAACTTCTCTGATCTTTGGTATTATCCTCCGGGAAAGGAAGATAATCTTTACCTCATCAGGTTGAAAGTGAGTCATTCAGTCGTGTCTGACTCTTTGCAACCCCAGGGACTAATACAATACAGTCCATGGAATTCTCCAGGCCAGAATACTGGAGAGGGTAGCTTTTCCCTTCTCCAGGGGATCTTCCCAACCCAGGGATCGAACCCAGGTCTGCCGCATTGCGGGCAGATTCTTTACCAGCTGAGCCACCAGGGAAGCCCAAGAATACTGGAGTGGGTAGTCTATCCCTTCTCCAGCGGATCTTCCTGACCCAGGAATCGAACCAGGATCTCCTGCATTGCAGGAGCTATGAGGGAACTGCCTCTTGATTTGATAAGCTAAATGCATAGTGAACCAGGACACTGCCTAATACAAGAAGGTATTCCAGAAATAAGTGATTTTATTACATAATTTCATTACTTACTTTCTCATGTGTCTCCATCTTGTTTTCCAAACCAGACTGTAGCTTCTCTGCCATATTCAGCTTCTTTTATCATACTGTCTTGCACATGACAGGCACTAAATAATTACTAGTTACTAGTTTTCTTTTTTTTTAGTTACCAGTTTTCTAAAGCTTTAAATCAAAGAATGCACTCTTTCAAGGTTCGTTTATAAATTGCTATTGTGAGGCATTTTCAAGGAATTTTTTGCAGGTAACTCCTTTTCTGGACCTCAGTTTTCTCACTCACAAAACAAATGTTTTGGTCTATAATTCCAGATGCACTGGGTCTTTACAGCATTAAAATATGGAATCTATATATTATTTTTTAAAATTTATTATATTGAAGCATAGTTGATTTAGCCTTCAGAACCACAAGATGTTACATTTGTGTGAGAGTGCTAAGTAGCCTCAGTCATGTCCGACTCTTTCTGACCCTATGGACCATAGCTCACCAGGCTCCTCTGTCCATGGGATTCTCCAGGCAAGAATACTGGAGTGGGTTGCCATGCCCTTCTCCAAGGAATCTTCTCGACCCAGGGATTGAACCCTCTTTTCTGTGTCTCCTGCATTGGCCAGAGTTTGTTACCGCTAGCGCCACATGGGAAGATGGTTGATTTACAATTTTGTGTTAATTTCTACTGTACAGCAGAGTGATTCAGTTATACATTCTTTTTCATATTATTTATCTACTTAACTGGAGGAAAACTGCTTTACAATGTTGTGTTGGTTTCTGCCATACAACAGTGCAAATTAGCCATAACTATATATATATATCACCTCCCTTTTGAACCTCCCTCCCCTTCCCCCCAACCCGCCTTCGTAGCTGGGCTCCTGGACAGGCTCTGCTCCATGTGGCTGCCTGCCTCCCTGCCCCACCCCCAGCCCTCACCCTGACCTGGCTTTGCAGCAGAGGAGGACAGTGTGGGGGCCCCCATCACATGAAAGTAAAGGGTGTGCCGTGAGTGTTAGGTTGCTTCAGTCGTGTCCAATTCTTTCTTTGTGACCCCACAGACTTATGCAGCCTGCCAGGCTCTTCTGTCCGTGGGATTCTCCAGGCAAGAATACCAGAGTGGATTGTCATGCCCTCCTCCAGGGATGGAACCCAAGTGTCTTGTCACCTGCATTGGCAGGAGAGTTCTTTAGCACTAATGCCACCTGGGAAGACCAATTAATAGCCAAGGTGGTGGTTTAGTCGCCATTGTTGTTATTCAGTCGCTAGTCATGTCTGATTCTTTGCGACCCCATGGGTGCAGCATGCAAGGCATCTCTATCCTTTACTGTCTCCCGGAGTTGGCTCAAACTCATGTCCATTGAAACCGTGATGCCATCCAACTATCTCATCCTCTGGGTCCCCTTCTTCTCCTGTTTTCAATCTATCCCATAAGTTTGAGTAAATATAGAATAGGAAGAAGCAAGGAATTCCTAGGAAGACAACTGCAAACAATCATATCAACTTATCTAGAAACTTGATTGCAATGGGAAATTTAGAGATAATTTTTAAAGACAGAGTTTGTTATCTTTCAACTAAAAAATAACTAAAATAAAAAACAAAAAGTATAACCATGACTCCAAAAAAATTAGATCTTAATTGAGAACAAGAATAGCCATCTTTTTTTAAAGCCACAACATCAGTGGATTTAGTATATTAACTGGACGCCTGGAGAAAATGTGCTTGCAATAAATCGAATAACAACCCGTTGATACCATGAGCTAAAGGAAAGGAAAGCATGGGAGAGTTTTCATTTGAAATGTCTGAAGCTTGCCATCTGTTTCTTTAAAATAGTACAGCCACAGAGTACTTCTCTCTTCGTCAAACCATTCGAACCTATTTCTAACCAAGATCCTACCCATCCCACAACCTGCTTTAGAATGGACCCTTGTAAATATTTTTTATTCATGACTCTTAATTTCATTTCATATTCTAACTGCCATTCCCGCCACTTTTTCCTCACTACAGTTCTTCCCAACTGGCCCCAGTTCTTTTTCTCTCTTGGATAAACCAAATCTCATCTCCCTTTGAAAACTGCTCACCTAGGCAGTGTTTAGGAAGGGAAATTCTCAGGGCTCTGGGTTCGATCCCGTCTCTACCACCCGGCGCTTCGTGACTTCTCGCAAGTAGCTGTGCGTTCTCTTAAGCCGGATACAACACTGCCTCGCAGGGTTGTCGTGAAGATTAGATAAAGAAAGCGTGTCACGCGGGAAGTGCCCCAGCACAGGAAAGGGGCAGCCGTCCACACCATTCCCTTTGTTGGTTACCATCTCCAACCCAGAGCACCAGCACACTCAATACCGCGCCTCTCCCGCCCTCGTCGAGGAGCATGCAGGGATTTGTAGTTTTTTGGTCCCCTAGTTGCGGTTCCTCTTGGAGCAGCGGCGCGAGAGGAAGAACTACACATCCCACTGGGCCGTGAAAGGAAAGTGGGGGCGCGGAAAACCGAGTGTCCCCGCCCGGCAGGCTTCGCTCCTGCGGCCCACCGGCTGTTCCTGCGGCCGGAGGGCTTAGACCCCTCAGCAAACCCGGGGCCGAGGGACGGCGCCGATCCGCGGGGACCGCCCGGCCGGGGCGGGAGACCAGAAGTGGTCCTGTCGCCGTGGGAGCGCGCCGGGGTCGAGGGGAGAGAAATAAAGCGAGCAAATTGTGGGCGCCCGCGGGGGAGAAGAAGTGAGAAAGGGCAGGGGAGGCAGCAACCCACGCAGAACCGGCTGCCACCGGGGGCTTGTCCTTCGGAAGGGAGCCAGGGGCCGGAGGGGGCCCGAGACCGATTTCGCTGCCCCTTCCTCCCCGCGGAAACCTGGAAACCCGGCCTGGAAACCGGCCGGGCGGCGGAGACACCCCGCCCGTAGCCCCCATCCTGGAGTCTAGTCCGCCTCGGCACGCCCCTATCCACCCTGTCGCCCGGGCGCCCCCATCGCCTTCCCGGGCAGCATTAGAGACCACCCCCGCCGCCCCCCAACACCGCGACCCGACCACTAGCCCTGCCGGGGAGGGTCACGCCTCCGCGCCGGTTCCTCTGGCCCCCAGGACTCGCAAGAATGGGTTTGCGTGTTGCCGCGTGAATGTGTGTTCCCGAGGCGGCGGGAGGAGAAGCGGGGAAGCGGACAGAAATCTGCCGGAGAGCGATCAGCGGGTGCCCGGCAGGAGCGGCCCCGGGGCGATGCTGGAGGGAGCCCAGTGTCCACCCCCGCCCCGCCCCGGGCCTCGCCGGGCCAGCCGTTGGGGACCGGGGCGGGGGCGCGGCAGTGCCCGTGCGGACTTCGCCGGGCGAGAAGGAGGGGCCGGAGGAGGAGCCCGGCGGGCGAGGCGCGGGCCACCGCCCACCCGGAGGGGAGGAGGAGGCGGACCCGCTCTGAGCTCGGCGCGCGCGCCGGGGCTCAGCCTTGCAAACAAGTGTCTGTGGCGCTCGCCCCGCGGCCCGGACACAAGCGCTCCGCCGCCCCCCGGCGGCCCTCCTTGTTCCGGGCCTGGCTCCTATGGGGCAGGACCGATCCAGCGAGCCCCTGGGCGCGCAGTCCGCCAGCCGCCGCCGCGACCCTCGGGCCGGGCGGCCCCGGCAGCTCCACGCGGGGGCCGCGGACTCAGCTCGGCTGCCAGGCGCGCCGGCGCGGGGTTGCCGCGCGACCAGCGGCGCCCAGGCTGTCGCCGAGCCCGCTCCCGACAGAATAACGTGCTTGGTTTCCCCACCCACCCCTGGGAGGGGTTGCCGGGGCCGCGAGCGGCCTCCCAGTTTCCATCGCTCTCTCCTGGGGAGGATCCGCCGCCGGGAGGAAGGATTAGAATAAACCTGAACCGAGGCACAGAAGTGGCTCCCGGGGAAGCCGGCGCCGGGGCCGCCGCCTCGTGTCCCCTCGGGGCGCAGCGCTCGGGGGTCGGCGGGCCGGAGCCCAGGCGCGGCCCGCGGGCCGGGGGCGGCGGGGCCGAGCGAGCGGCCGCGCGAGGGGGCGGGCGCGCGGCCCACCGGGGGGCGGCCCGGCAGCCCCCCGCAACCCGCGGGGGCCCCGAGCCCCGGCACGCGGGCTGGACGCGAGCGAGGACCGCCGCCGCGGGCTGCGGGCGAGCCCCGTCCCTCTCGGCAGGGGATCGGGCTATGACAGCTGGGCGCCCCAAAGGGTTAACCTGGGTGTCCTCGGCAAAGTTGTCGCCGAGCCGGGAGCCCGCGTAGGGGCCGCGGCGCCGAGGCTCGGGGGGCGGCCGGGCGGCCGGCGGCGGTCGTGGCTCGGCGGGGCCCGCGCGGCCGGGGGGCTGCTGGGGGTGTGCGCCCCCAGCCGGCTGCCCTCGTGGATGCCTCCCGGCGGCGGCGGGCCCATGAAAGACTGCGAGTACAGTCAGATCAGCACCCACAGCTCCTCCCCCATGGAGTCGCCCCACAAGAAGAAGAAAATCGCGGCCCGGAGGAAATGGGAGGTATTCCCGGGAAGAAACAAGTTCTTCTGCAACGGGAGGATCATGATGGCCCGGCAGACGGGCGTCTTCTACCTGACCCTCGTCCTCATCCTGGTGACTAGCGGACTCTTCTTCGCCTTCGAGTAAGTGGCGGCGAAAGCTTCCCCGACGCCTGCACCCCTCGATCCCTGGCCCTCCCCTCGATACTTTCGTTTTCTAGAAGCCTTATCTGTTGTATATTGTTATATAATACAGACCCCCCCTTCTTTTTTTTTTTCCTTTTCTTTCAAAGGTCTGTTTGCTGGTCCGTCCCCAGAGATAATGCAGTTCTGGGTCGGGCTCTAGGAGTGGAGGAGAAGGGCAGAGGGGGAGACTTGGAAGGTGTACCCGCCTTGTTGCTCCCGAGGGTTGAGTGGTACTTTGGCAGGTGGCTGATTCTTGGCGTTGGCCCGACTGCTAGAGTTTGGGGAATAGCAGTCCACCCAGATGTAGCCTTCTGTAGGAAGCGGGAAGGAGGTAGATCCGCAGAGGGGATCCACAGAGTTGGCTTCCTTTCCTATTCGAGAGCTGTAAGGGCATCATGTTAAGCTCGATTTCCTAAATCTTCTACATGTCTTTGCTGAATATCGAGAAATCTTGGTGGTTTGAGGTCTCAGAGTGTAGGCCACCCCGTGTGGCCTGGAAGGATGATCTCATTTTTCATTCCCCTTTAGATGTTCACTCTTGGTCAACAGTTTCTGATTTACTATCAGGTTTCTAAACGCTTCACTGTTTTAAAAAAAGTTTCAATAAAAAAAAGTTCCAAGCAAACACTTTTCCCACCCCTTCCTAATATTTGCAAACAGGTTAAAAAGGAGACTGTAGGCCTGTTTTCAGGGAGAGTATGACACTGCATGGTAACTTCTGACTCTAGAAACAATACTTGGGGACTTTAGAGCTTTAACTGGAGGAAAAAAAAAAAGTACATGCATGTCTTCTCTGTTTTCAGGAAAATCAGATTGGCTGGTCGCAACTATCCTCCTGCCAACTAATGAAGGATCTTCTTACTTATTAACAATATTAGATAAAGTAGTTTAACCACATTCCAGAATCAATTTCAATTGCTCTTATTGGGTCCAACATTTGCAATGCAACTTCTTATGTAATTCTTGGTATCTGATGCTCAATGAAACTTGTAGCTACTACTCCCCACCACCATTAAAAAAAAAGCAATATATTTATTAGGGGTTCTTTGCTTTTGCTGTATCCTGGTTATTATGGGACGTGATAACACTTTCTGCCTCTGTTGGGTAGGGTTCATTAAAACTTTCTGTGTATATTTACTTTTGTCTCTGGTAAGTATTAATAGGCTCTGATTTTGTGCCTGATGTTTGATATTCCAAATGCTGTCTCAGTCAGAAATGGATGACAGGGTAATACTATTCATTTGAAGCCCTCTGACGCTGAGGGGAAGCATTTTGCATCTGAACATTGTGCCATGATGAACAATTTTAACAGGATTAAGTTAGAACAGGTGAGGAGAGAGATCTCAGATATAAGCCCCCCCCCCCCTTCCCCAGCCTTTCTTATAGACAGCCCGTCCATTCTGACTATGTAAAATGTTCAGGTCTCTCCCAGAGATTCTAACTTTGATGCACCTTTGAGACTAGTTGGTGGAGTCTGTCAAGGGGACCGAGGGCGGGAGGGTCAGGGTGTGGAGAGGCTTTCGGAATGACCCGAGAAATGCCCTGTTCCTGCTTCTGTTCTTCTTGCCTTCATCCAGAGTCATCCTCTGGTCGTTACAGACCCGGGGAGCTGGAGCGAGGGGCCAGAGTTTGCAGTCAGAGTCATAACACATTCCGGCACTGACCTGATGGCTCCATATGGCTCAACAGAAATGCCATTTTTCTAATGGCGGCTTTCATTACAGGTGGTCCCCTAGACAGTGTTCACTATGTTCCTAATGTTAACAAAGTTTTCAGTGGATCTGTATTGCCATCTTTGCTCTTTTTAGCAAGGTTAAGAGTGGAGAAAGTGGATTAACTTTGTGATTGCATTGCACAGCTTCAGCCACAAGTGTGTTCCATGTAGAATCATGAATATTTCATCTTCTCTAACACAAATCCCCACTGGATGGTTAGGGGTCCCCTCCAGTTATTACTCACCATCTTTTATTTTCTTCTTTCAAACATTGCTTTTTACCAAACCATCATAAATTCATTTCTACTTCTTCATCTCTGTGTGTGTTTCTTCCAAGAGTTCCCCAAAGTCCTCACTAGCAGGTTGTTAGGGACTTTTTTTTTCTGCGTCAGTGTTGCGTTAACGGATGGCTGTAGGAATAAACATGTGCACTGGGATTTTGTTAGCTACTGTCAGCAGCTTCATGTACCTGTATCTTTGGTGTCCATAAGTGTCACTTCAATTAGGTGATTTCAGATTTCAAGGAAAGAAGGCTCATCGTAGCACGAAGCCTCAGTTGCAAAAAATCATAGGGCCATTCAAACTATAGAATATTATGCTTTGGCAAGAATATTTGTCCCTGTATTGCTTTTAAGTTCACTACCATTGGTAATGCCAGAGTGAAATTAATTTGACAGTCTCAGAGAACCAATTAGTCACATGCTTGGGAAATGAAATGCCAGTAGACTAACAGAGATCAAGAGAGAATGCCAGTTTTGTTTTGCTCATTGTCTGCCCTCCTTCTGCCATTCCTCAGTTATTGATTGAGCATATACTATGTGGTTGCCTGTTTTGGTGAATTTCATGTCTGGATAACTTTAATATTAGCAGAGTTCCGTTTTTAAATATTAGACTCTGTGTTTCTCCATTCTGTCACATGAAGGCAAATATGAAATTTGAAAATAAGACATATAAATTCTAAACTCAGTTTTAGACCTCCTTTTCCCACAACTCTTCTCCACCCCACCTCTCCTTTCTGACCTTGAGCAGATGAACAGGGAAATCTGACCAAGAGAAGTGGACTTCCTGGAATGCAGCAATAGGTATTGATATTGTCTTCAACCCTGGAAGAAAGGCCGGGTAGAATGGTTATTCCCAACTTGAAGATGAAGTGACAGAGACTTGGAAAGCAACCACCGAAGGTCACACACTCATTAATGGTGGGGCTTCAGGCAGCAAAGCCTGTGACCCTTCTGATAGTCTGGGCTGCTCCTCCTCCATGCGTAGAATAGTGGTCACAGGTGTGTGTGCATTTTGGCAATTCAGATCCCAAGATTCTTCCCAGAAGTATGACCCTAGACACACAATTTGACTCTTCTAAGCCTTAGTTTCCCTATCTGTTAAATGGGATTAATAATAGCTACCATTAAATGTTGTGAAGATTAAAAGAAGGGTATTTAGTATAGCATCTGATATGTACCATCTACTCATTAGATGGTACGTATTATTAGAGAAGGGCTTCCCATGTGGCATTAGAGGTAAAGAACCCACCTGCCAATGCAGGGGATGTAAGAGACGTGGATTTGATCCCTGGGGAAGATCCCCTGGAGGAAGACATGGCAATCCACCCCAGCGTTCTTGCCTTGAGAGTCCCTTGGACAGAGGAGCCTGGAGGGCTAGGGTCCATAGGGTCACAAAGAGTCAGACACGACTGAAGTGACTTAGCACACATTATTAGAGAAATAGCCTCCCAGGGATGCTGGTCACCCCTTCTCAGAGCCTGTGAAGGAGGGAGTTATGTGGGTTATGAAGCAAGCATGACAGGGATAGCATATTAGGGCTGAAAAAATGTGGAACCGTGCAGCCTGTGGTTGAAACAGAGGAGCAGCTTTGCCCCTGCCCCTTTTATCCAGACCCTGAGCAAGAACAGAGGAAACTTCCAAGAAGCAGGGATTGGATTTCATTTCTATTTTTGGAGCTACCATCTCAGAATGGAGGAGACAGAAAGAAAGCAACTAGAAGTCCACCTAAAGCTGCCTTTAGCTGTCCACCTAAAGTCCACCTAAAGAGTCTTTGCCAGTTAGGGCAGGGCTGTTTACCTTTGGGCATCTTTTATTCGACCTGTAGAGGGCCGGTCCAAAGTGACAGCATTCCATGGGTGTTTAAGAGGGAAGGGAGGAGGTTGGTTGCAGTGCTGTTGAGATGTCGCGCTACTCCTTGCATTTATTGAGGGCTGGCTCATCAGAGACTCTCTGCAGTGTCCTCAGACTCACACCCCCAGAACAGTCATTTGAAAAGATCAGTGAACATTATCAATTTCTTTCTCTCTGACACACACACACACACACACAGCCCACTTTAGAGTTGAAAATTTGAGGGAAAAAAAAGCAAAAGTCTTTGGTCCTGAAGTATTGACCTTTCATAGTCTCTTGATCACCAGGGCAGAAAGGAGGAGATGAACTGGGGTGCACATGACGTTCTCATTTCCAGGGGCACCCCTTGAGGCCGGGGGAGCAATGCTCAGATCTTGGAGTTGACCGTCCCCTGCTTCTATGCTGTCACCATGGACAGTTTGGAGATGTTACTAGAGCTGAAGCTGGGATTGCAGTAGTGTTCTTAAATTTCTCCTCACTGAGAAGTCCGCTGGTGATTCTTTAAAAAAAAAGTCGTTTTCTTCTCTCTTGCTGTCCCTTTGCCTTCCTTCCCTTCCTTACTTCCTCCTCCTCCTCCTTTTTTTCTTTCTTTGGCTCCTCCCCTCTGAAATAACTGATAAATAATTGGTAGTCATTGGAACTGGAGTCCTGTTTGCCTTGAAGATGGAACAAGAGACTGTCCCCCATAAACAAAAGTGGGATTTCCAAAAATAGTGTCTCCCTTTTAGATTGGAAATCCTTTATTATCTAGTAGAGGGTACTGCCTTATAATACATAAAGATAACCCATTCATTTATGCGTGATTAACACATGGAGAAGGAAATGGCAATGCACTCCAGTACTGTTGCCTGGAGAATCCCATGGACGGAGGAGACTGGCGGGCCATGGTCCATGAGGTCGCAGAGAGTCGGACACGACTGCAGGGACTGAGCACGTACGGAACACATGTAAATTCCATGGGGATAGGGACTCTGTTTTGTTCACTCATATCCTCCCAGCATTTATAGTAGTACCTTGTGCATAGCAGCCTCTCAGTAAATATTTATCATTTAATGAAATAATGGTAAAATTGAAAGACACTGAAAAAGAACTTCTATGGGCTTTGGTTTTTC